TCCCCCCCCCACCCCCCTGTCCCCTGGAGGTAGGTACTGCCCCAAGCTTGGTCCTTGAGGTTCTCTGCAGTGGGAGATCAGACTCCACCTTCTCCTGACTCTAACCGTTCCAACTCTCCAGCGCTGACCAGCGAAGCCCTTGCCTGGGTACCACCTCAGGCCCTCGCAGCCAGGCCTCCATCTCGCTGTCCTGGCTACTTCCAGCCTGAACTCTCTTCCAGCCAGCCCCAGGCCTCCCAGACTCCACTTTCAGATAGGGCCACCATCTAGTGGAGCCTCTTTCTTCCTCACAGCAGGGAGCACGGGGCCCATGCAGAAGTTTGTCACCTGGAGGCGGAGACGAGGTAATTCAGCTCTGGCCTGGCCAACAGGGGCCCTGCTCGGCTCAGCAGGGTCAGCATGAGGGGGGCGACCAAAGACCAGCCTGCTGGGGGTGGCCAGAGAACTGGGCTAGGTGTCCTAGGAAAAACGGGGTGGCAGACAGATTGGGGTGCATCTTGGGCTCCCAGAGACGGACCTGGGGATGGTGGGAAACCTGTGTTAGGACTCCGGTAGGAAACAGACCAGCCCAGACAGCGCGTGCTCAGGCCTGGGGCTCTGGGCTAAGCCTCCATCCAGGAGCAGACTGGCGTCGGGCTCCAGGTGGGTGCCCAGGGGCTGGGGCCGGCCTCCATTGCTGAAGTCGCTCTGGAAGACTGTGGTGGGGAGCATACGTGTCGGCCGGGCACCCGTCTCAGTCGGTCTGATCTGGGGCTCAGCCCCACTGAGGGCAGCCCCGGCCCTCCCTCGATGGCTCCTGGCTCCTTCATCATGCCCGTTTGTTTTGCCCGCAGACTGGGAGCGGGGCCGGGCCCTGCTCTCTGCCAGGTCTGGGAGCCCCTCCAGCCAACCCAATGCAGACGAGCGGGTGCAGGCCTGGGAGAGCAGACAGCCCCTCATTCGGGACTTGGCCCGGCGGCTGCTGACTGATGGGCCCTTCATGCGGGACTTGGCCCGGCGGCTGCTGACTGATGACGAGGTGCTGGCGGTCATCCGCCACTGCTCCAGGGTAAGCCTGTAGCCCGCCCTGTCCTACCATGGCCACTTGTCACCCGGCCCTCGCTCAGCAGGCCACTGCCCACTGCCCAGGATCTGGGCTCGACACTGGGAGGCTGGCAGTCCGTGAGGGCAGAAGTCACTCCTGTCGCATAGACACATGCTTACCGAGTTCACAGTGGGGGAAGAGGGCTAGCTAGGACCTCGCCCATAGCGACAGAGCGTGCAGGGTGCCGTGAAGGAGAACACGAGAAGGTAGCCGGGACCGGGGGCCAGCCAGTAGTGTGGTAGTTAAGGGAGCTAGAGCCCACAGGGCCAGCGTGTTCAAGACCCGAATCTGGCAGCTTGAAACTCTGCCTGGCATGTGTGTACACGCCGAGAATCCTGGGAAGGGAGTGGAGGAGAAGGGGTTACGGCTTGGCCATCGCCTGGGGGCTGTTTTCTCACTTCCCTTCTCTCTGTTTCTCCCTTTCTCTGTCTCTTTGGCAAGTGCACGTGCCCTACATCAAACATAAAAAAAGTTAACTAGGAGTGTGCCTTAGATGGTGTGGTCTGGGGGTGCCTCCCTGGGGGAGCGATAGATCTTTTTAAATTGACTTATTTTAAAATAATTTTTAAATGTTATTTATTATTACTTTAAAATTCACCAGAGAGAGAGAGAGAGAGGGAGAGAGAGGAGTGCGAAAACAAGCCTTACATCCAGGCCTCGAATTGCAGTCAACCACATGGGAGTCCCCACCTTCACCCCCACATCACCTGCTGGCCTCAGGGGGGGATTCTTAAGCTGAGGAGAGAAGGGGCCAGACAGGCAGCTGGTGGAGGAAAGTGAGTCCCCACGTCTGCCCTCTCTGAGCACCCCCACCTTTCCCCATGCCTCCTCTGCTCCGAGTCAGCAGGCCAGCCCTCATGCCAGACCCCTCCCACTACCCAGTAAGTAGTCACTCACCCCACACACCCCTGAACCTCCCTAAACACCTACATTGCTGTACCCTTCCACTTCAAATAAGACAGGGTGTCCCAGGGTGGGGAGGGAATCTGATTCTGGGAGTCCCTGGAGCCCGCTTTTGGGGAGGCTGCAGAGGCAGGGCTCCTCTGGAAAGATGGGAAGGTTCTCTCCCTTCCCTCTGTCCTGAGAAAACCCGGGTGTCCTGTGAGGAGCATGCGTCAGGCACACGGTGTGCAGGGGCACGCTGCGATCCCTACTCCCCCCTGTGCAGGGCAGCCGTGTCTGTCATGGGGTGCCGGTGCCTGGATGTGTGGGCGTGACGGCTGGATGCACTGTGCTAGTGAGCGCCTGGCCTGTGCATCTGCATTGTCACCTGGGGACCACGACGCGGCGTTTGTGCCTCTCCTTGCCAAAGCCTGGACTGCAGCAGAGGGGTGGATGGGGCGCCTGCTGTGGGGTGGCTAAGCCGCTTTGGGCTAAACCCAGAGCCACGTGGGCTGGGAGTGCCCTCTCCAGTAAGCCTGCAGCTCTGGGCTCTGGCCACTAGGTGGGGCACTGTGTCTGGCCCTGGCCGGCTCCTGGCTCCTTTCCCTCCTTTCCCTCCTCTCCACCCTCCTTCTCACCTAGGTCAGAACCTCCTTTGCTGGCCCTGGGGTCACCTGCCAGACTCTACATGCCGCCTGGACCTGGCGGGGGCCCTCTCCCATACCACGAGATAGGCCCTCTGCCTGGTGAACTCCCCTGGAGATGGGCTGTGTAGCCCTGAACCCCAGGCCTCTCCTCCACCTCCAGCCATCAGTCCGCCCGCAGTCACTAGACCAGGGACTACAAACACCTCTCCGGCCACTTACACTGTAGAGTTCAAGCTGCTTTCACTGGCGGTCAAGGCCTCGCTGTGATTTTACTCCCCGGCCCACTGACCTGCCCATGGCCAGCACAGAGGCTATCCAGGTTATGAACTGCAGGACTTTAGGGCAGTGGTCACGCAGACTCACAGCCCAACATGGAGGCTCTTCATGGACCCCAGATTCAAGGTGAACCCCCGTCTTCCTGTTATTCCATACCACTCTTGGGGCACTTCCCTCTTCACGTCCATGCTCTTTGCTAAACCTGCCCTGTAGAGTCGTAGAAATGCTGGGGCCAGCAGGTGGCGTGGCAGTTGGAGCGCTGGACTCCCACAAGGCCAGCTGCAGTTCAAGTCCTGGGATCTGGCGGCTTGCTTTCTCGCTTTCCTCTTTCTCTCTCTGGTCAAATTGAAAAATAATAATAAATAAAACTAAATTAAATAATTTTTAAAAGAAAAAGTCATATAAATGCCACCACTGGGACCAGTAGATGGTGTAATAGCTAGGTCACTGGCCTCCTGTGTAGTCGACTTTGGTTCGAGTCCCAGACCCGGTGGCTTAAACTCATGCCGGGCACTTGCGTGTGCATGCCCAAGATCCTAATAGAAGATTGCGGTGTGGCCATCCCCCGGGGGGGAGATTTCTCGCTTACTGTCTCTCTCTGTCTTTTTGGCGAGTGCACATGCCCTAAAGAAAAAACCTCTCCAAAAAAAAAAAAAAAAAGCCACCACTTCCATGAAGCCCACGCTGATCCTCCCACCTCCTCTGAGACGTTCTGCCCCATTGCCAGTGGCCCAAGGCTCACTGTGGTTCGTGATTCACCTGCCCCGACTGATACACGGAGTTCCTAAGAATAGGGTCTTTGTCGTGCCCCCACTGCCCAGTGCAGGGCCTAGAACTTAGAGGTTACCGATGCTGGCATGTGGTCTGCACAGTGAAGGTGTCCCTCTCCAAGGGCGTGTTCTCCTGACGTGTGTAAGTCCCTGTAACTTGGTGTGTGGTTTAGGGCCACACACACAGTTTCTTTTTCATTTCCAAATATTCGTGAATGACTCACTTTGGCCGCTAGGGCATGCTCCATCCGTGTCTGTACACAGAGATGTTCTAGAAGTGCCTGTCCCAGTCAGGCTTCCTCTCACCACCAGGGGGCGGTGTGCTGTCCTGTGGAACAGCTCGGGGAGCTCAGGTCTCCAGAGCCTGCGGGTGTGGCTGGTGGCAGTGCCAGGCAGAAGGGGCTCCACCCCCCAGGGTACTGACTGCAGAGGCTTTCTGTAGAGCCACCCCCTTCTCTGAGGTCCCACTCCAGCCTGAACAAAGCCTAATTTGTAGGCCTGTGTGCAGACACGCGCTGGAACAGCCAGGCCCACGGCCCAGTGTTTGGCTGGAATTCCTTCCCTCTGCCTGGGCGGTGGGGGTGGGGAGAAGAGTCCACTCCCTGCACATCCTTTTCCTGGACCAGAGCAGGCCAGAGCCAGACTTCTTAGGCTAACCCCTCTCCACACTTCCTTATCTACGTGGCTTTGAGCGAAGTCCTACTCTGATCCTCATTTTCCTTCTCCAGGACAGGGATCATCAATATAATTTGTTAGGGGGCAGGCGGGTGGCATAGTGGTTAAGGCGCTGGACTCCCACATGGCTGATAATGGTTCCAGTCCCGGACCTGGTGGCTTGAAACTCACGGCGGGCATGTGTGTGTGCATGCCCAAAATCCCGAGAGGAGAACCGGAGGAGAAGGGATTGTGGCGTGGCCATGCCTCCGGGTGTGATGTCTCTCTGGAAAATGCACGTGCCCTATAGCAAAAATCTCTAAAGCAAAAAGACATATATGTGATCTGTCAGGGCGTCTGCTACAGGAGAAACCCTATGCACAAGGCTTTGGAACGTGCCTGTCCCCAGCCCGTTCCTGTCATCGCTGTTATTACAGCTCTGGTATTATTGTTGCAAGTTCCCACCCAGTTGCCATGCTAAGACCACCCAGTGGACAGCCTGGGCTGCAAGGGGCCTTTCTTGAAGCAGGAGGGTCAGGTGGGTGCCCGGGCCCCTCGTGCCCGGCGTTTCTCCTCCCTGGCTCCGGAAGCCCCGGCTGTTCTGACCGTAGTGTGTCTGTTCGTAGTACGTGCATGAGGGTGGCGTCGAAGACCTGGCGAGGCCCCTGCTGGCCATTCTGGACAGGCCTGAGAAGCTGCTGCTGCTGCGGGACATCAGGTGGGCAGGGCTGGGGGGCAGGAAGGAGATCCCGATGCCTCCCGACGTCCCTAGGGCACCGCCGCCCACCCTCCGTCTGCTGCCGTCCCCCAGGAGTGTGGTGGCCCCCACGGACCTGGGTCGCTTCGACAGCATGGTGCTGCCCGTGGAGCTGGAGGCCTTCGAGGCCCTCAAGAGCAGGGCAGGTGAGCACGGGGCAGGACTTGGGGCCCCTGGGTCCAGATGGGGGCGGAGAGTGCCTGAGCCCCTGAGGCCGCGTCGTTAGGGACCCGGCCTGGTACCTGCCTCTCACCTGTTCCCCTCTCCAATAGTTCGGCCACCTGCTTTGAGGTCGACCCGGCAGGACACACCACCCAAGCGTCACCTTATCACCCCTGTGCCCGGTAAGTCAGAGTCGCAGAGACCAGGGAGGGGACACAACCTTGGGGAGTCTAAAGAGCGGAGGAAGGGGCTTTTTAGCCCTGCCCCACCCAAGGGACACTGTGGTTCCCTGAAGGAAAGCCTGTGTCCACCAGACCCACTGTGGTGACACCCACTCGCCATTGTTTACTCAATAGTTGGTTTGAACCCACTCACTTTTTAAATCTAGTCTCATTCTCGGCCATAACCTCCGAGAAATTAGCAGCTGGTGTGCTAGTCATATTTTTTCTTAGACACATTAAAATAGAACCATGTTACAGAAGGAAGTGCCGCACGCCATCCGAGTAGATGGATTTGCCGCCTGCTCCGTGGGCAGCCTGGCTCACTGAGAGACGTGCTGCGGGGGTCTGGGCGCCCCTCGGTTCTCACAGGCCCCACAAACGAAGACCAGGCCTGAGGTCTGGACAGGTGGTCTGGCTGCAGCTGAGGAGGGGCTGCTGACCTGGGCCCCCTTCCCCAGACAGCCGCGGGGGCTTCTACCTGCTGCCTGCCCATGGCTTCTCGGAGGAAGACGGGGAGCTGAGGGAGCGGCTGGGGGGCCTCGAGGTCTCCCCGAACACCCCTGCGCCCCATCACCCTCACAAAGGGATTCTCCCTCTCCGAGACGTGCCAGTAGATGCCTTCACGGTGCACCGGAACACCTGCACACCCCCTCCCCAGCCGCCCCCTGTGGCTCCCCGCCCCC